CCCAGCATCCCCTCCTAAATTTGAATACTGTGTTTACTGATAATAATGTTAAACAAATACAATATTATCTAGTATATATTATTAATTTTATAATCCTATGCACTTACGAATAATTAGTATATTATGTTAGGTACATAATATTTACATTTACTTTCAAAGGCCTGGGTAGGGTGGGGTGCCAGAAAAATGTTTGCCTACAGGCGCAAAATATCTTAATCCGGTATACTGGGCCTGATCTTGAAATTTATCACACCACTCTCTCTTCGTGGGTTGTTTTTATAAATACAACATAACTTATAAACACTCAAACAATACCCTGGCTGCTAATTATTGTATTAATTTTTATACTGCAAGAGTCTATGATTTTGACATGTTTCAGATCAACACAGATAGTCTATATAAAGTGATTCTTTCAACGGTAAACATTGATCATTTCGAAAAATATCGATTAACATATTTTTATATAATTTGAAATCTATAAAGACATGATGTTTCTAATGTTATGTCTTATGTATATATATACAGGTATTTATTATATATTTAAATGTTGTTTTACAACGACTTAAAGTTTATAGGTAAAAAAAATAATTATACTTCCAAAAATATAAATGTATCGTATCTACTTTTTGAGCTATTGTGTTTTTAAAATTTTCACMTTGTATTATGTGTGGGTATAAAAAAATGATAATATTATTCTCAAATAATAAATTGGGTGATGAAAAAATAAAAAAATAATGTTTGTATACAAAACATATTTATTTTTTTCACAAGTCGTCGTACTAACTATACMGGAAATCTACAAAGAACTTGTAATATTAATCGTGTAGCCCGGATAGCTTTTTAACGAGTACTTAGTTAAAATAAAGGCATTCCATCGATATAGGCATAACTACAGCTAAAATCATGTACCTATCAAATATTTCAAAATATGGTACGGTGATTTTGATAATCGACAGAATCCTGTGGAAAATTTGATTCGTTAGTGTATTCTTAGTAAAGTTGTGCACTTATGCGCTCAAACACTTCATAGGCAGTATGTAATATTACAATAGGTATCTCTATAGTATATATTTCTTACATGTGTATAATATAGTAATATAATACATTATGCCTCAAGTTTGTGTGTGCGTCAGACAAGCCGTCAGTGACCTGTGTACGATAAAATATAAAAATTGGTTATAAAAATAATATGTAATGAAATAGTATAATGAAAGTTAAATTATAATGTTTAATTTCTTATATTATAAATAACTACAGCAAAGGAACAAATTTATTATTTATAAAATTATAATTATATAGCAGCACTGGACTAGCTGGTAAAAGGTCAATAAAACCTGGAGCTGCTAAAGACAAATATTTTTTCAGTTAGTCTAATTTTACGATGGTAAAATTTACAGTTCACCTTCCTCCCCACAGCAAATTGTATAAACGATCACTGATTAACTATACGAACTCGAACTCACCGGCGCGGCGTTGTTATCTGCAGGAACTATTCATTGACGGTTTTCAGGCTGAAATTTAATATTGTTTAAGGTCAAAATATAAGAGGTTAAAATATAAAATATAATGATCATTTAACTATTATTGGTAAAAGTGAGGCAATCGACATTTTGAGAGCTGCAGTTGACCTAGCACATAATTTTAATTTTATATTATTTTTTGTTATTTAACCTATATATTATTATTGTAATCATCACATTCGTTTTATAAAGTAAATTCTTTAGTTTTTGAGTAAAACAAATCTTTGTTATATAACTTAAGTCTTAAAGTATACTTAAGTAGTTAAGTACCTACTTATGATAAGTTACAAGTTATAATATATTCTAAAGTTACKCAAAAAATAAAAAATAAATTTGTTTAGCATTATTTTTTTCATCTTTGACAGTATATTTATCAGAATACTTTAATACACAAATATAGAACCTGAGAGTCTCTAAATCTAAATATTAAACCAATAATCTATTATTTATAAATTATAACTTATAAGCGTTTAAAGTTAAGATAAGTGTAGTGAAGTGGTAGGAGATTAACGTGAATTTTTGAAGAACTTTATAAACCAACTCAACTATTATATAAGCTGAATAATATGATTATATTGTCTCTACTGATTCAATATTCAGCATGTTAAAATATAATTTTTTTCTTCAGAATGTGAAAGTAAAGTCATGGATTAATGGGTAAAAAAAGTGAACAAAGCCTAATAAAAATAAAAATAACCTCGATGAAAATTAGTAGGTACTAACTTT